TGAAAATAGTTTTAGCGAGAACTTTTTGAATAAATTACGTTTATTAAATCAATATTCAATTGAATTTTAAAGGAATACAAAATAATGATGAATTCAACTAAAGAACAAAGTGAAAGTTAACCTAATTAGATTTAAAAAAAGATATTTGAATGTAACTTGATTAACGAAAAAAATAATCTAAGATTATAATTTTTCAACATAATCAACAACAAGAGTTATTCGGAAGACGAAATCTAATACAAATCTATGCTTAAATATTAAATCACTATTAACAGGAATTAAACCTTACAACTTGCAAACTTAAAAAGAAGAATAAACATAAAACATACAAAATTTATACAAAAAGTAAAAGGAGAGAGAGTAAGAGAGATAGAACATCGAGATTTATACCAGTTCGGTGCTTCGTCCTCGAATGCATTTAACCAATTCTCCAATGGCAAGCCATTATAAATTGTTGTTATTTTCAACTATGAATTTTAATATAGTGTCCTTTTATAAAAGATGATAATCACATATCAAAGCTAAAATACTTAAAAACTCCAAAACCTCTTATGTTTCTCCAATGAGTTCAATCGCTAGAAATCAACAAACCTAATTTATCTATCTAAAAAACCTTCACAAAAAATATTAGAATCTCTAATACAACACCTTAAAACAAGAACTCAAACTCTCTCCTAGAGACGAGCAACACTCATACCCATCAATGGTGTTTAGAGTAAGAGGTAGAAGATAAAGTTTTAGAAAATCTCACACAAATAACTTTTATCACTCAAGAGATTAACAATTAAACTTTTTTTTTCCTTAAAGGTTCATTTAAAAGAGATTTTTGTGTGAATGATAAACATCAAAAGTAAAGGTTATGAAAAATGAGAGAGAGAGAGAGAGAGAGAGTAAAATAGTGTAATAATAACACTTTTATTCGAGTCAAATGCATAATAGATTATTCAAGTTAAGAGATGAGAAGATTCAAATCAAGTAACAAAAAATTGTAAAATTTTTAATTTTAATTTGAATCATGATTCAGATTACACCAATCCATGATGTGAATCACATTTCCAGCATTAAATTTGTTTTGAAAAAAAAAATCATGATTCAAATTATGTTTCTCAAATTCAAAATTGAAGAAACACGAAGGCTCATGATTTGAATCAAGCCTGCTCACGAATCAAATCATGCTGGATATAATTACTCAGTTCGAATGATACACATTTGGTTTAAATCAATTGCATTTTCTTTAGTCAAATGTCCATTTTTATGCAAGTAAGATGATTTTCAACCAATAAGAGAGTGATGGATAACTGTGAAAGACTCAAATAAGATAAAATCAAAATATGAATTTTTTAAAAAAAAATATCGATATTGATACCAACCGGCTTTGTCATACCATAAACAAGTGTAGAATTTTAGAAGAATAACATAAATTAACATTAAAATATTTAACATTACATAGCTAATTTTTACCATGAATTTAACATTACATTTCATTATGAACAAATGGTTCAAGATATTTCAACATCTTTAAAATATCTTCGATCGATTGTGCAGTAGTCACATCCACTTTAATCGGATCCTTTGCTGTATAACAAAAAATGTAATCCATATAACCCTTAAATATTCATTTGTCTTCAAATAAAACTTGTTGATTTGTATCTTCCCTTTGTCGTCAATCGAGGGTGAACGATACTCGAGTTTGACAACTCTTGGATTGTCTGGATAATGCAGAAGATTTTCTAAGTTGGATTTCAGATCAACGAGAGGTGTATCCTCGACAACCCTAAATTAAAGTGGGGGGCTTTGTAATGTTGAAATACACAAATGCTAAATAGAAATACATATTCATTCTGGTGTGGTGTGTTTTTACCTATGAAGCACAGACACCTCTAAGAGTAGGCATCTCGCAGTGTCCAACACGTGTCGGTATTCGACACTTGTATGACACCTGTACGACACGTGTAAAAAAAGTTAAAGAACTGTCTGAAAAGTCAGATAAGTGTCCACTAAAAGAATGGTTTTTTTTCCCTTTGTTTCAACACTTTTCGAAACAATGGTTGACACACGTATGAAACTCATAACATACATGTCAGACCATTTAGACAAGTGTTTCAAACAAAAATTTAATTTTTTCTTTGGTTCAACACATTTTTATAAACATTTTGGACAAATCTCACACAAATTTAAAATTGTTAAACGAGTATTTAAACAATGTTATCAATTAAGAATTAAAGGCGTTAATTTTGATTAGAATATTTTCAATTTTTTTAATCATAGATGAATAAGTAAAGAGAAAATACTCTCTTATATATAGAGGTGTTGGTGTCTTAAATTTTGACATTATCAGTGTCAGAGTGTCTGTGTCATGTTGTGTCCTGGTGTCGTGTCGAAGTCTGTGCTTCATAGGTTTTTATAAACAACATGAGATGAGAGACCCCATATTTATAAAAAATTTAGATCATTATAGACCTTAGGAACCCTATATTATCTCAAAAGATATTCTGGATATGCATTTCCGGACCCACTCTACTTTTTCTTCTTCTTTTAAAATAAGGGTTTCTATGGAGATGTATTTTCGAATTATCCATATTTAATAGTTTTTGTAATTAAATGAGGTGAGTACAAAAGTGTATCTCCATAATCGTCCCACAGACCAACCATTCCATACAAACCTATTATATGCAAGGACAAAGTTGTTAATAGTTTGAAACCAATTTTTTTTCTAAAATCGGCCACCAAATGTTATATAATTAATGTTGAATATACATTACATATGAATCAAATTGCATCCAAATTACATCTATGACAATAATTCATATAAAAAACGAGTCACCACCTAAATACATAGTTACATAAAAACTAAAATGCATCAAAACATGTGTCACCACCTAAATATATTTCTATGGGTGGTGTCGCCTTTAACTTTTCATGATTTGATTCTCCTTCAATCTCGCTTAACTTGGTGAACTCTTGCATCTTTTGTGAAATGTGTCATCCACTCCGGTGATGTCTTTGGTATAGGACATCCCATTTTCAAATAAACTTGAACAAAATGTAGTGATTTTGAAAGCCACCCAATACATATGATGCATCTTGATGGATTTTGAGGTGAACTACTTCGAAGTGAAAAATATGTTTTTAAGAAACCATATCTTGTTAGATCAATATACACCCTATTGTATGCACTTGTTATAAGATGACATATTTCATGGAAACACATCTGTTTTCACTAGTGTCAGACTGCTAAGACAAGGAATAAGAGCATCGTGAATTGCATCGAAATATTCTTTTTCTCGTATAATGATGTATATGATTTTCTATGCATCTTCAACTATTTGAGAAGTTGTTGTCGGACAAGTGTGTGATTCCCGACTCCTTTACTGAGCAAAGCCGAAATAGCTCGATAACCGCAGTTACTGTCACCATTAACATCTACACTCTGCTCAATGTATTTGTGCATAAAAAGCAAAAACTCTTCAATGTGGATAATTTTTTGAAACGGTGGTGAGGGAGATAGTTTAATAATGCGAGCACCCTTAAAAAAAATACTATTTTGAGATTTAAGAGTTGAAAAATCTGAAAAATGTGACTCAACATGTTCAAAGCAGAAAGGAGACCGTTTCGTAGAATTGCAACTCTGTGTCGATTTGACATTTTTAAGGGAACTCTTTGTTTTAACTAATTTCGAAAGTGGTTTCAAATCTGTGGTGTCAGGATAGACAATCTTTCTCAACTTATCTTTGATGTGCAATTTCATAGAGCATATCTTCACGAACAACAAATTCATATTTACTTGTAAATTATTCATGAACATCTACCTTGACATCAACCAATTTAACACCTACCTTGACATCAACCAACTTAACATCATCTTCCATTTCACCCAAATTAACATCCATAAACACTAGGAGAAAGTATTAGGGTGCTCTCTATCTACCATATCTATGACCAATCATAAAAAATATTCTTCCATTTTCAATCAACTTTTGACAACAAAACCACATTAAAACTAATAATGAGGAAGAAATTACATGTACATTAGCTTAAAATCTAATTTCTTTTACTCATTTTAATGTGATAAAACACAAGAATGATGTTTCGGAGTGCAAAAGTTGATTGAAAATGGAAGAATGTTTTTAAAGAATTTTAAGAAAAAAATATAATTTGATCGTGAGAAAGAAGAACATGCAATGTGATGTTTTATTCAATTTCTCACTTGACAATTCCAAAAATGCATTTTCAAATTTGTCATTGAGTTGTGAAATAAATGAAATCAGTGAATAAATACACCTTCAATGAGATTCCAAATGTTATTATAGAAATACATCTCCAGATTAACCCTTTCACTAATTCAAAGATGTATTTTCGAACTATTTTTTAACAATAAAAAATGTCATTTGCAATAATTTTTTTTTGTGTGTATTTGATGCGTCGAAAAATACATTTCTAAAATATGAAAAACACAAATTCGAGTTTTCAAATGGTGGTCCTTCATCTCATGGAGTGGAAACAGTAACCCCTTAATTAAAGTTGACATTGTGACATGTCTGAGTTTCTTTAAAAATTTCAGAGTTAAATTACAAAAATTGTTTAGCTATCATATGTTGTATATAATTTGATTTGATACTACATTTTAAGTACCAGTCCAATTTGATTTAGCCGTCTCTTCCTTCCTTTAACATTTTTATATTTAGCAAAGTTTACATAAAGAGATTAACATCAACAAATTCCACTAATCTCTAAGATTATAAAAAGATGAACTTGTTGATCACAATATAAGACTTGGAAAGGGCAAGCCCTTTTCAAGAAACAAAAAAAAAATCTCTAAAGGTGAAGTCCAGTTATGAGTTGGAATGCTGAAGAAATAGTGAGGTCCAGAGTTTGATCCATGCTGCTAACAAACTCTTCCTCCTTGTAACAAACTAACCCCTAATCTTTGCCTAAAAAACAATAGATAAAAAAATCATGGCATTCACAACAGAAAATTTGGGAAGGGTAAGTTCTTCAGTTCAACATAGGATTTCCTTGTTCATTCCTTGGCAATAAGATGCTTCTTCCGGTAAATGCGGAAGAGTCCACCATGTACCAAGAATTCCAATCAAAGTAAACTTGTGGTCTCTTACTTCAACATCAGCCAGGCAAAGAAGCTTATAGTCCTGTACTTCGACTTTACTGGCATATACTGACTGCAGATAAAAGAAGGATCACCAGATATCAAAAGTGTTCCAAATCATTGATATCACTGAAATTCAAAGTACTTCAAAGGTCTTCCAAACAGTTTCATAAGTGCTTTTACAGTAGATAATCTCAAATAAGTCAATACAAATAACCCCTAAACAAGCATAGGAGATACATAATTGACATTGAATGGTTAACTAAAGATATTTGTGTAATATAAGTCACAAATAAGTCACACTACGCTATAAGCTGTTTTCATCATCTCAAATAAGTCACACTACACTATAAGCTGTTTTCCAAATAAGTCACACTACATTTATACACTTATGTGTAGTGTGACTTATGATGATGCAGCCACCTACTAAAGCTTATAGTGTAGTGTGACTTATGTGAAATAAGTCGATACAAATCAGTAGATATCTGTGTACCATAAGCGAAAAAACTGATATAGTTAGGTCTTCACGCTAAAACCACAATCAAATAAAAGAGATGGCGACGCACCTTTTTGTTAAAAAAACTAGTATCTTCGCGTATAGATTGTTGGCACAACTGCAACATAAGAATTTGTAAATCAGCACATTGTTAAGTAAAACCAAATTACATCAAGTTACCCAATGAAATACATTTTGGAAAAAACTTGAGACGGTTTGAAAAATGGCAACAAATAAACTCAAGTTTTTGTGTAGTATACACTTTTTTTCAAAGTATTATCAATGCAGTATCTGACCTGATCAACAAAAACATAGACAGAGAACGGATTCGGCTTTGTGCTGAGTAGGAATATCGTCAGTTTAATGAATAATACTGTAACTGGATTATCCAAGTTTGTAAGCACGGTCAAAAAGAACAAAATTGGCAGCCAAAATTTTCCAACTACTTTCCACAGATCTTGCATATTTTCTTCATCCTTTAAAAGATCTTGTGAATTGTTACGACGATCATCCCACAAAGTATCCTCAACTACTTGTCGCAAAAAAACAAAAAAATCAAATTATTGAGAAATGCAACCTGAGAGTACAGGGACTAGCCAAATTAACAGAAAATAGTGATGTTTCAAATTCGGTTAGGTACTACAGCGCTGCTAAATCCACTATTTGATTTTGTACTAAACAGCGCATCGCAGAACAATACCTATTTCTTCAAATTTCAATACGCGATAATAGCGCTACAGCGCCGCTATATCCTTTATTCAACAACATTAACAGAAAAACTAAAGTATATAATACCAATCAAATATGCAGCTCACCCACCATCCATGGAATAAGCAATAGTTGACGCAGTTGCAACCGACGCGCCTAAGATGCATCCAATGCCTGAAATATGTATCAAAACAACCCAATATAACAAAAAATTTAAATAAAATCATTTTTTTTTCATATCAGTTGTTTTTATAAGCTAAACTTGTGAAAATAAGCTGAAAACAGTTTATGAACACGGGATATATTGTTTCCATAAACCGGATCAAACAGTCTCAGAAGTGCTTATGTCAGTGCATAATCTCAAATAAGTCAATCCAAACCAATTCCACATTTTCAATTGGGATTTTCTTAGAAACTACTATATAAATCATTCATGAAAATTAAATGAATACAAATTTGAAAGTTATCATAATTCACATTGCAAAACACATTATTCTAAAACCTTAAATAATCAGAAGCAATATTGAAAATCATGATTGAAGCTAAAAAAACCCTAACAGAATTAGTTAAAAGAAACCTAACAGAATTAGTTTAAAAACATAACAGAATTAGTTAGTAACCTAACAGAATTAGTTATAAACTTACCAGAATAGCGGAAATTACGGAGGTAGTTAGCAGTAAGATTGAGAGGTGGTTGAAAAATGAAGGCACGCTGTGATTGGGAAAGTTTGAGGGTTTTTACTTTCAATTTCAATATTGTTCTTGTTACTGCGTCAGACTTTAAACCTGAACAAAAAATTGAGAAACAAAATCATTAGAAAAAAAATTGAAAAAATAAAATAATAAAAATGATGATTAGGGGAAAGAAGAAGAATTGGTACCGGTGGTGGTGAAATGGCTGAAACGAGAAGTTGAAGAGAAAGAGGAAAATCTAAAGAGATTAACGAGTTTTGTGTGAGCCAACAATTTTTTCATTTTTAGGTTAATTCAATTTAAGTTAGTTCTTCTTTTTTTAAGAACATTTGATAAAGTTTTATGAAGAAAATGGTTCCTTACTCCATTACTCTCATAAAAAGTTTATCATTTAAGACGAGGTTATTAAAAAAATATTAATTATACTAATTTTAATGTTAACATAAATTTTACTAAATTATATTTAGTTTTGCAAAATTTTTTAATTGTTTTTCTCATTTTCAAATTTTTATATTCGTCTTCGTTATGTGATTAATAGATAATAATTTGGTAAAAGATTGTAAATTTTCTCTTTTTCAAATTTTTATATTCGTCTTCGTTATGTGTGATTAAGCCACCGATCAGTATGTTTCTCTTGATAGCAATTAGAACCACTTTCAAATTGTTTTGACAAGAACGATTTAAAATTTATATGTGAAGGGAATTTATGTGACAAGAATCTGAACCTTATTGTCCCTTTCAACATACATGAACACCATGTTGTGAATTCAATATGCTTTTGTTGGGTCAGAATAGGAGAATTCAACTATTTAAAAGGGGTTGAATATACCTTGTTAAAAATTGATCATTTTAAAAATTTATTTATTTTAAAAATATATGAGTTTTGAAAATGATCTTCAATCAAATAAGAATGATGTGTAGTTTTAATCAAATAAAACCTATGTTTATATACAAATTTTGTATGAAGGCAATAAATCTAACCTACAATTCTAAGAAAGCAATAAATCTAATTATAAAATTCTAATCAAAATAGTGTGTGCGCGCGCGCGTGTGTGCGTGTATGTGTGAGAGAGAGAACACCAAATGTATAGTTTGTTCGACAATCACCTTCGCTATGCCTACTTCACTCTCCAATAGTTTCCCATTAAAATTTGATGTTTTTCCCCTATGATTTTGACAAATATTAAAAAGATGTTCAGTATAACCACAACCTGAATAATGTTGAAAACATGAAATATTCGATCTGAATCCTAGATAACTTGTACACTGTATCTGACACTAAGTCCTTGCGAAATATTTACTCGAAATTGACTTAAATCTTCCAGCTTCAAGAATACTGCTCCAAATTCTCTCGTCTACAACAATCGTTACTCGATCCAATTGGTATCTTGAGCCTTCGTTTTTCTGAAGATTGACAAGAACTCCCACTTTGTCTGTAGGCTTTCACACAACACTACCAAAGTAATTCTAGAGAGAACAATCCACTTCTTTTATGATGGATTTGTCAACCTCGGCCACAACCACACATACAATTTGAATCCCTTGAAATCTAAAAAAATCATCAAAGAAAACATTAATCACAATAACAATCATCCTCACAAATCTCACACCTTGAGGATCAGAGTTAGAACCAACCAAAAAAATGATGAAGAAAAAGGTAGAAGATGAAAGATTTTATTTGTAAAACTAAAAAATCTTTTGAAAGTTGAGAGAACAAATGTGTTGTGAATTTCAAATCAATAGTGGATGTCTATGTTTTTTTAACATTGTGAATGAGTTTTGAGAAAGTTTTTTTTAAATATGTTGGAGATCTAGCATAAAAAACGAGAGAAAAATGATGTTTAATTCAAGTCTTAAGAAAATAGTATGAGTCAAGTCAAGAGATGAAGTGATATGAGTGAAGATCCAATAACTAACATAAAACTAACTCATTGATTTGAGTCATGTTTTTTTTTTTTATGATTTGAGTTACATGATCCGAGTCATGAATGTTTCTAATTCAAATCACATTTACAGAACCAAATGCCAAAATATACAACTTGTGTTTGATTTGAATAAAGAAATCTGTGATTCGAATCAAACCTCTATGATTTAAGTCATGGACGCTCTGATCAAATCATGACACCATGAAAACAGTTCATGGGCATTCTATAATAATGATTCGAGTCATGGAAGTGTGTGATTCAAATCACATCTCCAAAATCTCAATTTTCGTAAACTGTGAAGTTTTCTTAGATTCCAACCTTGTCATGACTTGAACCATTCTCAAAATTGATTCTTGATTTAAAACTTTGATAAATTGACTTAGAAGTATATTTCTCGGACTATAATCAAACTGTTTGATTTATGCATGCATAAAAACAAATTTAGAATCCAATTCTTATGTGCCCAATCATGAGAGAGACTCAATAACAATATAGACAAAACCAAAATCCAAAAGACCAACAATCAAAATATAAACCCTTGGGAGGCAAAGGCAATGCAACTTCAGTGTCCCATTTTTTTATGCTTGGAAAGTGTTGCGGTAAGAATTGGATATTAAGTTATTAAATTAACTTGAATCACAAATCATGAAGTTCACCATCGAGCTTTGATTTATCCAAAAGAAAGGGTAAAGATCGAAGAAAACCCCAAGTGTGCTACGTAACAACGAAGCTAAGAGATCTAAGGTTCGGGGGTTGGTTATACCTAGGGAAGGTGTTAGCATCCTAAGCATCTGTAGTACTCTACAGGAACCTCTTGTTCGTATTTGTGTTATGTTAAAGTTTGCTTGCTAAGGGAAAGATGCTAAGGTAAAGACCTAGGGTATATACACTAAGTATGCTCGCCAAGATATCGCATCTCGTACCTACGTATCCTAACAAGGATGAAATCAGAGCAACTGTAGTTCACCTAACTAGGGATGAGGAACTCTTGATAATGATCAAAGTTCCAGAGGGAAAGTAAGTATCCATAACCATGATACTTACACAGAGTTAACCAACTCTCTAAATCTAAGTTGAAAAACTAACTAAGGTTAACTTTAAATAAAGTCAAAGAGAAAAGTGAGTACTCATAACCATGATACTCACATAGAGTTTACCAACTCAAATCTAATTCTAATTTGCAAGACCAATTGGTTCTAATCAGAACAAAAAGAGGGAGTTAAGTGTTAATTGTTAGTCGTTAGAGGGTTCGACAAGATACCGCATCTTGTGCCTACATATCCTGACTAGGAAAGGGAAATCAGAGCCTCCGTAGTTCGACCAACTAAGGATGAGGAACTCTAGATAATGATCAAGGTTCCAGAGGGGAAGTAAGTATCCATAACCATGATACTTGCATGGAGTACGAAGACTCCAAACCTAAACTAGGTTACAACAGGCAAGACTCTCACAAGGTCTCGGGGGAAAAAGATGGACAAAGCTATCCAACATGACATGGAAGTCAACAGGGATCCTTTGCTTTGGAATCTCTTACAAAAGATTATCGAGCAAAATAGACATCAAAATCATGACAGGAACAAGAAAGACATTTACAAGACTCCATCAAGAAATATTTGCAAGTGTCATCAAGAATTTGATTAACAACCAAGTCTAGTCAAAACTAAAACCTAAGATTAATCACAGTCAAGATCATAAAATAAAATAAAATAAAATGAAATAAAATAATCAAAATTAAGAACAAAGATAATCAAAGATCACAAATTAATTAAAGCTAAAACAAAAATATTATTCAAAATTAAACCCCTAATAAAACCTGATTTAAAAACAACATTAAGCAAGAAAAGGGTGTAGTAGCAACTATGGGGGTTAGAAAGGAATCATATTGGTTGAGCCCTGTCATACCCCAATTTTGACCGGCATTTTAAGCTTTCATTCATCATACTTTATTCTTGCTTTACATCATCCGTATAACATAACACGCCTCTCATATCATTACATTTTCATCATTTGTGCATCATATCCATCATTCATGTCATCTAACCATCGTGCGTACAAAATAAGTGTCTTTGTGCTTGTGGTATAAGCTCAGGTCTTGCAGGATCGAATAAAGATTCAGGCAAAACTATTAGGTCAGACGTGTGTATAATTTGGTTGAAATTCAGTTGAGTTTGACCTAATCTTGGTCAAATAAGAGTTTGCTCCATCATCAGGATGTGTGTAAGTCAAATGCTTCATGGTTGAAGATTAGCAAGGATCAAATTTGCATTATAATCAGTGTTTAGTGCAGTGTATCGAGATTCATGGCTCAATTCATAATTTTCTGATTTTAAAAGCATGTTGTTGCTCAGTTGGTTCAAAATGAAGATTTTGACTTATCAATACTCAAGTGGCCATGATCAGGTGGTTTCATTTGTTATGATTAACCAGTTGGATTCAAGGCAGATCTTCTTTGATTTAATGAGTGGCGTTCAAGTTTAGTTGTCAAGGTTGTAAGTGTTGTGGAGGCATATTGCAAAACTCATTCCTTACCAATTATCCACTTCCATTTCCTAGATTTGATTTATCCATTTTCCATATTTTTATCCACTTTGTCAATATTTATTTTCCATTCCAATACCCCTTTCTTTATCCAATCCATTTTTAATTTCATATTGATTCCATTTAGATTCAATTCTATTTCCGCATTCAATTTTCAAGTCATATTCAAGGCCATTCAAATTTCAATTCAATTCAAGTTCATTCCAATTTTCATCTCCATCCAAACTACAAAATTCCAATTTTATGACAAGTTACATTTCCACTCAAAATTCAACTTCAATTTAAAACTCAATATTCAATTGACAACCAATCTTCAAATTTGTCCAATTTCCACAAACCACATTCCATATCCATGTCTATCCTTTGTAAACCATTTTCAAATCCATTTCTTTAGACTTAAACCCATATCTATCATGATTCTATTTTTTCAAATTCAAAATTCAATCTCAAAGATCAATTTCAAGAGCCAAAGTTCAAATCCCTAACCAAATTTCAAATTCCAAGTTCATTCTTCATTCAAGATTTAAATTGCATTATTTTCATTCAATTTTCTAACCAATGTTAATTTCTATCTTTTAATTTCATATCTAAGTTGCCAATTCATTTTTTGCAAGCCCATTATCACAAGATAACAAGAGACCCATTTTACAATTGTCAAAAAAAATATAAGGCTCATAAGAAGTATACAAAATATTAAGGCCAATTTAAAATTATACCAAAGCCCTTTCAAAAATTACCAAGGTCCATTACAATCAAAGCCCAATTATTTTTTATTACAAGGAAGATTTCACACAAAAAAACACAACTACAATCTGCAAG